TGTTTTATGTGCTTGTTGTCCATGCATACATCTTTTTGAGAGAAGTGTATATTCTACTTATTTTCCCGTTTAAATTTGATTTTTATTTTTAACCAAGAAATACCTTTTAAGTGATCAGACCTGGAACCTTGCCAGGTTTAATGATTATCAAAGCAGAACCATATTTTGACTTTTGAAGTTATCTATTATTATAGTCTTGTTTTTCATAATTACTTGACTATTATCAGCATCTCTGGACCCTTTGTACTTAAAACATAGTATTTTAAATCTTTATATTGAAATATTCAGTACGTCTTGAAAGTTTTGATATAGAACACTCTACTTTGCATTTCTTTATATCCTAAAATGCAATTATAAAAAGGGTGTCATTTCCTCTGCCAATTAAGTAGCCTTCATTGGTTGATATTGAACAAATTGCTGATACTTGTTTCTATCATGTTTACTTTTTTAAAAAAATATTTTTTGCTTTCTTGTTGATACTTCCAAACAATTGCTAGGTTAATTTGTCAGTGGCAAATGTGAAATAAAATTGTCTTTAGCAGTCTTTCAAATAAAATTTTCATTGAGACTAAAGAGATACTGGATTACAATCAACATTTGTAGATATGTCATATATAGAGAACCAAAAAAAATTATAAATATGATATAATTATCAGAGTGCCATACGGACATGGCTCATGCCTGTAATCTCAGCATTTTGGGAGGCCGAGGCAGGTGGATCACTTGAGTCTAGGAGTTCAAGATTAGCCTGGGCAACATGGTGAAACCCCATCTCTATAAAAAATACAAAAATTAGCCAAGCATGGTGGTACACACCTGTAGTCCCAGCCGTTTGGGAGGCTGAGGTGGGTGGATCATTTAAGCTCGGTAGGCAGAGGTTGCAGCGAGCCGAGATTGTGTCTCTGAACTCCAGCCTAGGTAACAGAGTGAGACCCTGTCTCAGAAAGCAAAACAAAAACACCCAAATATCAAGGTGCTATGAGACCTCATATTGTATGTGTTCATTCCCCCAAATTGGAACATTTTAAGAAGCAAGAAGAGCGCTCTAAATTAGTTTATATCTTGCTTTTCTTCTTATGTTCTGTAGATTCTTTAGTACTCCATAAGAAAAATTTGCTCTAGAAATCATGAAAACTGCAAATACGTTATATCCTCTATGAAACCACCTTTAATTTAGTTGATAAACCCTGATCATTGTTGCACTATACATTCAGAAAATGTATAGCAGTGACTATTTTGTAAATATGAAGAGTTCATATTCAGCATATTCAGCAATGGCTTATATCTAAAATGGTTATTGAAGAATACTTTAAAAAATGTCTTTGCCTAGAGTCTTTAAAGGTGGCACTTTAAAACTATGTTTCATGGATTGTCAGTTGGAATGGACTTCAGGAGGTCCATAAGTCCATAAAATTACAGTTTTTTAACGTGTGAATTTTTCTGAGGATACATAATTTTTTATCATATTCTCAAAAGAATCTAAAACTCAAAAAATGATTAAGAGCCACTGATATAAAATGTTGATAAAGGCCATGGTGGATCACATTATACATTGATTCTCATTCTTCAGAAGCTTTGCATGTGTGAGTTTACCTGCTCACTAAAATGTACTTGTAAATCCAAAACCAGTACTCAGGGTGCTTTTATAGTCATTTGTAGACATATGTGGAGAAGCAAAAAATTTGAGTCACCTTATGTGTTCATTCCTCTCTGAGGTCAAAGAAGGTAATGATTTGCCTTGTTGTTTCAACTGTCATACTGTAAACAAGTGTCCTTTTCAATGCATATATAGTGACATATTAATCACATTTTTTTGTTGTTGATTTTTCTGTTTAAAAAAATCCCGAGCATAGTGCAGATATGCTGTCTAGTGTTTCTAAGCATAAGAAGGTTGTGACACACCTTAGAGAATAAAAATCTGTAATAGACAAACTTGGTTCAGGCATGAGTTACATTACTGTTGACTGTGAGTTCATTGTTAGGAACTCAAATATGAAGTATCAATGTCTGTATAAATAGTTAAATATAATTTTATATAGATATAAATATAAATCATTAAAATACAGAATCTTTAAACAGAAACATACATTTTAGAAATTATTTATTGGCATTGGTTGACAAAGATGTTGTTTGGAGAGGTTTGCAGGAAACTAACCCTGTCTTTTTCCCGGGAACAATAATTCTGCAGGAGGCAGAACCTGTTTTCCAGGTTGGAATACAGTGGCATGAACATGGCTCACTGCAGTTTTGACCTCCTGTGCTTCTTCTGCCCCAGCTTCCAAAGTAGTTTGGACTATAGGCACATGTCACCTTGCCTGGTAATTTTTGTATTTTTTGTAGAGACAGGGTTTCTTTTGCTCAGACTGGTCTTGAATTTCTGGGCTCAAACAGTCCTCCCATCTTGGACCTGCAAAGTGCTAAGATTAGAGATGTGAGCCTCCCTGCCCAGCTCTAGTTAACCTTTTGCAGTGTTTTTTTGTTTTTTTGTTTTTGTTTTTTTTAACTTAATGTTTCTAAATTCCTTCTAGGGTAAACATAGAAATTTCTTCTAGGCTAATACATAGAGACTGGGTCATTTACCGCTTCATAGTATCACACATTAGATACTTCTGACATAACCATGATAAATGTTAGTGGTTTCATGGTCTTATTTACACTCCAGCTCTACCAGAATTCACTAATCTACTTCAGGTTTCTGTCTGAAATACTCTCTTTTTTCTTTTCTTTTCTTTTCTTTTCTTTTTTATACAGAGTCTCACTCTGTTGCCCAGGCTGTAGTGCAGTGGCCCCATCTCAGATCACTGCAAACTCTGCCTCCCATGTTCAAGTGATTCTCCTGCCTCAGCCTCCCGAGTAGCTGGGACTATAGGTGCACACCACCACACCCAGCTAATTTTTAATTTTTAGTAAAGACGGAGTTTCACCATGTTGGCCAGATGATCTGCCTGCCTTAGCCTCCCAAAGTGCTAGGATTAACAGGCATGAGCCACTGCACCCGGCCTCTGTCTGAAATATTCTTATTGTTCATCATACAGTATATTGGGCTATAGTACTGTATTTTGCTCCAGGGTGTTGATAACCATTTATGCTGAGTTTAGCCATTTTACTTAAGGGTCTACTAATTCATTGTAGATAAAGAGTTACTAGTTTGGCATGGTGGAGCATGCCTGTAATCCCAGCACTTTGGGAGGCTGAGGCAGGTGGATTGCTTGAGTCTAGGAGCTCAAGACCAGCCAAGACAACGTGGCAAATTTTATCTCTACAAAAATTACAAATATTAGCCAAGTGTGGTGGTGCATGCCTGTAGTCCCAGCTACTCAGGAGGCTGAGGTGGGAGGATTATTTCAGACTGGGAGGTAGAGGCTGCAATGAGCCATGATCATGCCGCTGTGCTCCAGCCTCAGAGACAGAGCAGTACCACAAAAAAAGTTAGAAGAGTTCTTTATCTAACAAATATAAGTTGTATATTTGCATAGTTTATTGCATTCATGAAGTCAAAGTATTTTTTATTCACTAAATCTAAAGGAAGTTGGAGCTCTCTGCTTTTGATAAGATGAAGTAACAAGTACTGTACTTATCCTCCATCTAAAATGATGATTAAAGAAAATTTGTGTGTTTATCTCTTAAGACACAGAGCAAGCATTTGATAAAATCCAACATCCATTCCTCATAAAATCACTCCTGAAACTGGTGATAGAGAGGAACTTCCTCAACCTGATAATTAGCATCTATAAAGAACCGATGGTAACATTATATTTACTGGTGAAAGTCTGAATGCTTTCTCACTAAGATCAGGAATAAGATAAGGATATCTGCTTTCACTGCTTCTGTTCGATATTGTACTGGAGGTTCTAGCAAGTGCAATTAGTCAATAAAAAGAAGTGCTTCTAGATTAAAAAACAGAAGTAAATCAATCATTATACTTCAGTGATATGATCATCTATGTATGTTATTCTGTAGAATCTACAGAAAGGTACTAGAATGAATAATTGAGTTTAGCACACTTGCAGAATATAAGATCAGTACTTAAAACTCGTGTAGTTTTCTGTACTAGGAAAAAAAATTTGAAATTGAAATTTAATAAAAAATATTTTCTATCACGTAAATAATACGGTATACTTGGGGACAAATCTGACAAAAGATCTGGAAGACCTTTACTCTGAAAACTGTAAAAACATTACTAAATGAAAATAAGTGAACAGTTTCCTTACGTATGATACTAATAGAATGATCCATTTAAAATTGATTAATTGTACATCAGCTATATACATAAGCCAAAATTTAAACAGTTGTACACCTTAAATATGTACAGTTAATTTTGTTAATTCAAATCCCTATACTACTGTTAAAACATATTAGAAAAACAAACTAAAGGAATTTATGTTCATATGACAGTAAATGAGTTGTCTGAACTCACCTCAATTTTTTTTTATTATACTTTAAGTTCTAGGGTACATATGCACAACGTGCAGGTTTGTTACATATGTATACGTGTGCCATGTTGGTGTGCTGCACCCATTAACTCGTCATTTACATTTATAATCCTAGGATGAATCCATCTCTAAAAAGTACTGAACATCTCTGAAAAGTTATGAATGTGGTATAGATGTTCTCCCATAACCTCCTATGTATCAATTATTGTTATCAGGAAATCAGAACTAGCTTAAATAGTCATAACATTGACCATCTGCTTTCCTTGTTAAATACATTTGACTACTAACTTAATGTTTTCAGTTAGCCCTCTAAAATTTGAGAAAGCAGCATCTTTTTTACCTTTTTGCCTGATTTCTACAGGCTTTCTGATATATAGCTGGCCCTCTAGATCATTGTTGGCAGTTTGAAATATGTGTGATTATGATGCAGAGTATTTTAAATATTATAAATATTTGATCAATATTTTTATCATATAAATTTTTTTCTTTAAAAAGATAAAATTTAGAGATGGGGTCACATTATGTTGCCCAGGTCTTGAACTCCTGGGCTCAAGTGATCCTTCTGCCTTGGCCTCCAAAAGTGCTGGGATTACTGATGTGAGCCACTGCACCCAGGCTAGAGTACACTTTTGATAAATATTTTTGATTACGTAGAATAATTTTACGGTGAGTTCAAAGTAGGCTTTTGCAGTTTTTATTGTGGACATGTATTTATACTGTTAGTTTCAGGATATCTTTACTTATCATCTCCTGTGTTTTTAATCATAATGTTTCCTTTTCAAACAACACATTATGATGAAAGATCAGTTTTCAATGAAATCATTTATAAGTATGTACTAGCTACTGCAACTTCGGGGTTTGGAAAGGAAAAATTAAAGTGCGCTATGTTTACATGTTGGAAACATGTTGGAAAAATCAGTCTAGGATTGGAAGAAGGTGGGAAGATTTAGGAGTAATTGTTAATGGGTACAAGATTTCTTCTTAGAGTGAGAAAATGTTCTAAAATTATTTGTGGTGATGGGTACACAAGTATGATTATACCTAAAATCATTGAATCATACACTTTAACTGGATAAATGAAAGGCTTTTATATTGGAAAGGAAATAGTAAAACTGTATCTGTTTGTAGATAACATGATCTTATATAAAAAACAAAAATCTTAAGGAGTCCCCTAAAAATCTATTAGAGGTAATAAATGACTTTTCACACTACCCACATAGGGGTCCATATGGCGTTCTGGATTCCCATCATAGCTTAAAGCAAAGCTTTTCACCATGTCTGGAGCCCTTGATGTCCTTCAAATGAAGGAGGAGGATGTCCTGCAAATGAAGGAGGAGGATGTCCTTAAGTTCCTTGCAGCAGGAACCCACTTAGGTGGTACCAATCTTGGCTTCCAGATGGAACAGTACATCTCTATGAGGAAAAGTGATGGCATCCACATCATAAATCTGAAGAGGACCTGGGAGAAGCTTTTGCTGGCAGCTCGTGCCATTGTTGTCAATGAAAACCCTGCTGATGTCAGTGTTAGATTATCCTCCAGGAATATTGGCCAGAGGGCTGTGCTGAAGTTTGCTGCTGCCACTGGAGCCACTCCAGTTGCTGGCCACTTCACTCCTGGAATCTTCACTAACCACATCCAGGCAGCCTTCCAGGAGCCACGGCTTCTTGTGGTTACTAACCCCAGGGCTGACAACCAACCTGTCACAGAGGCATGTTATGTTAACCTATCTACCACTGATTTGTGTAACACAGATTCTCCTCTGCACTATGTGGACATTGCCATTCCATGCAACAAAAAGGGAGCTCACTCAGTGGGTTTGCTGTGGTGGATGCCGGCCCAGGAAGTTTTGCACGTGTGTAGCACCATTTCCCATGAACACCCATGGAAGTTCATGCCTGATCTCTACAGAGATCCTGAAGAGATTGAAAAAGCAGAGCAGACTGCTGCTGAAAAGGCTGTGACAAAGGAGGAATTTCAGGGTGAATGGACTGCTTCAGCTCCTGAGTTAACTGCTGCTCAGCCTGAGGTTGCAGACTGGTCTGAAGGTGTGCAGGTATCCTCTGCACCTATTCATCAGTTCCCTACTGAAGACTGGAGCGCTCAGCCTGCCACAGAAGGCTGGTCCGCAGCTCCCAGTGCTCAGGCCATTGAATGGGTAGGAGCAACCACTGAAAGATCTTAAGCTGTTCTTGCACACACTCTTAAGCAACATGGAAATAAGGTTGATGGAAAATAAACATCAGTTTCTTAAAAAAAAAAAAAAAACAAGTAATGCATTCAGCTAGGTTGACAGATAAAATACCAAGATAGAAAAATCTATTGGATTTTTGCACAGTATTAGTGGACAAACTGAAAATGAAGTTATGAAACAATTTCATTTAAGTATCTTAAAAAGAAATAATGTACTTAAGTATAAATATAACAACAGAAGTGTGAAACTTATACTCTAAAAACTACATAACATTGAAAGACATTAAAGGAAACTAAATGGAAAGACATTAAATGTTGATATTTTGAAAAGATTTAATATTTTTAGGATGGCAGTTCTCCCCTAAATTGATCTAAAATAAATTTAAATTTCCTACTAAAATCACAGCTAAATTCTTTGCACAATTTGACAAGCTGCTCTTAAAATTAATATGGAAATTCAAGGGACCCAGTATAGCCAAAACAATCTTGAAAAAGACCAAAATTGTGTTTCTCACTTCCCAATTAAAAAACGTATGATGAAGCCATACCAATATGTAGTTCTGGCATAATGATAGACATATCTATTAATGGTATAGAATTGAGAACAGAAATAAACCTTCACATTTATGGTAACCTGTCTTTCTATAAGTGTGCCATGGCATAAAGAATAGTCTTTTCAATGAAGGGTACTAGAACACCTGCCCATCCATATGGAAAAAAAAAGAAACCGGACCCCTATCTCATATGTAAAAATTAACTCAAAATGAATTAAAGACTTAGCTGTAAGAATTAAAACTGCAACCATTAGAAGAAGACATAGGGATACATGTTTATGACCGAGCATAGGATATGGGCTGGCAAATGATTCTTAGATAGGTCATGTGCATGAGCAATAAGAGAAAAGAATACATAAATTAGATTTTGTCAAGTTTTGAAACTTTTGTGCTTTAAAGGACACCATCAAGAAAGTGAAAAGACAACCCACAGAATGGGAGAAAATTGCACTCACATATCTATTTTATCTTGAATATATAAAGAATTATTTAGACCCAATAATGATGAAAAGACAAATAACTCACTTTTAAAAATGGGCAGAATATCTGAATAGGCAGTTTCCCAAAAGAAGATATACAAATGACTAAGGAGCACATAAAAAGATTCTCAACATAATTAGCTGTCAGGTATATTAAAATCAAAACTACAATGAGATACCGTTTCACTCCTGCTAGGATGATGGGTATAATCAGAAGAACAGAAGTTTTGGCAAGGATTTGGAGAACCCTAAGCCATTGCTGGTAGGAATGTTAAATGGTGTAGCCTTTTTGGAAAAGAATCTTGCAATTCCTTAAATATTTGAACATAGAGTTGCCATATACAGTAATTCTGCTCCTAGGTATATACACAAGACAAATGAAAATGTTTGCACAAATGTTTATAGCAGCATTATGTATAATAGCCTAAACATGTAAACACCCCAAGTGTGTTACTAACTGATAAATGAATAAACAAAATTTGGAATATCCATACAATAGAATATCATTTGACAAAAAAGAAATGCAGTACTGATACATGTTACAACATGGGCAAATTTTGAAAATATCATGCTAAATGAAAGAAGCCAGTCATAAAAGCACACATGTTTTATGATTCTTGTGTCTGAGAAGTGGCCTGAACATGCATATTTTTAGAGACAGAAAATAGTGTTTGCCTAGGACTTGTGAGGATGAGATTTTTGCCCGTGGTGACTCAAGAGTGAACTGGTTTTTTTGGGGGGTGTTGAAAAATGTTCTAAAATTGATGTGGTGATGCCTGTACAACTCGAAATATACTAAACAGCATTGAACTGTACACTTCAAAGGGATGAATTGTGTAGTATGTGAATTATGTCTTAAGAAGCTGATAAATAAAGAATATATATTTATTGGGCTGTTTTACCCTTCAAATGGATTTTACCCATATGTGATATTTTTTACCATGATACATTGATCATTTGCAGAGTTTTTGTTCCTTAAATTATGCATATCCTACAAATGTAAAATGTCTCATTTGTCAATATCACTACTAAACAAGAAAATAGTCTGTAAGCATTGGGAACCTCGCTGGTGGATATGAGTTTTACATGATCATAATTTTCAGAGACCCAGGGAGAATTATCTCCCATTCTTTGGTTAGTTTTCCATACACTGTTGCCTAATTGTCTTTCTGAAATACAGATTTATCATGTAACTCTCTGATCCCAGCCTGCTTGTCATTGTCATGCACAGTTAGTCCTTCATAAAATATGCCATTATGGGCCCCATCTTTTACTAAATTCAGAGAAAGCCTGCCCATGTCTCTGTATTTTTGTGCGTATGAGTTTCTCTATTTATAATTCACTTTAGTTTATTTTTCTTGTTTTCAGCCTGGTAAAATCTTCAAACTTCAAGAACCAGCACATCTGTCATTTACTCTTTGACCTTTTCATTATGCCCCATATTCTTTGGTGCTTTCCAAGTATTTTGTTCGTACCTTTGTTATAACACTGCTTGTATTTTGTTTTCATGCTTACTCCTCCACTAGAGCTATGAACTTCTGATGACTTTATTTGTGCTTGTATTGCCTCACAGAGTACTTTTAGATATAGTAAGAGTCTCTTGGATTAACAAGTGCCTAATTTTATTGTGGGTGCTCAGAAATACTTTTATTTTGATGATGTTATAATTGAGGTATGAATCAGACTCCCCTTACACTTTCTGCATATAAATCTTTTTTGTAAAAGAACTCTATTCATTTTAATTATCCTATGAAAACTTAATTACCAATATTGTTTGTAGATGTCTGTTGCCAGATTTTTTAAAAAATGATGCATTACCATCCCCATAAGTGATATTGCCTTTTGCTTTTTTTCATATAAAAATGACAACTTTGCCTGTCAAATTATAAAAAATGGTTTCTCATTATTTTCATTTGCCATTCTTCTAGAGAATATATATGTTTCTTGTTTGTTAGTGTTTATATCATTGCTCTTTTAAAAAAATTGTAGTTATGCAAGAATGGGTGTAGGCAGGCTAAAATATGGACTCTCCAGAAATGTGGATATGCCTGGGAAATTGTCATTTGATTCACCTGTCTTCACAATGAGCATTTTGGACCATGATACAGTTGTTAGTACCTATTTCCACTTGGCCGATAGGCAGGCTCAAAGCTGTAGTCTCTTATTAGAGTCAAACAAGGGAGGCCGGAATGGCAAGAGCCATTTTTTTTTTTTAACTGCTGGTGCTACCTCAGCAGCACCAGGACAGTGGCAAAGGGGGCTTCTTCAAAGATTTTATGGTATCTCTACTTTATGTCAAAGTCTAAGCTATCAGTATTTTTCTTTGTAGTATTCAGTGTATGTGCCATAGTTAGGAAATCTTTGTCTTAGTTATTAAAATAAGTGGTTGAATTTTCTAATACCTTTATGAGTTCTGTTTTGTTTTGGTTTGTTTTTTCATTTGTATGGGGTTTTTGTTGTTGCTGCTGCTGCTGTTGTTTTTACACTTTTGGTTAAAGATTTTTTGGTTAAAGTGTGACAGGAGAAACTTTTCTTTTTTTCCCTGAAAATGGTTCTATTTTTATGCCAGCTTAATGTACTAATTCCCTCATTTCCATCTAAAAAAAAAATCACCTTTATTTTAATACTGTATTGCCATAGGTATTTGGTCTGTGTATGCACTCTGTATTTTTTCTTTTGAGCTCTGTATTAGTACCAAATTGTTTCAAAAGCAATTAACAAATAATACATTTTAATACCTCGTAGTAAACTGCTCCCTTAATCCCATCATTATTACTCATCTATTTCAGAAGGTAGGTACTTTCTTATTATTCTTCCACGTGAATTTAAAAATCATATTGATATTTTCAAAATATCACACTGGACTTTGTAGGTTCTTTGGGAAGAAATAACATTTTTAGGGTAAATTTTTGTTTTTTTAATCATATATCAAGATTTTCATTTTAATTTTTTATTTCATAGCTTTTTATTATCAAAAATTTCAAACATACACAGAGAAAGAATAATAGGTATAATGAACTCCATGTTCCTGTTATCCAGCTATCTAGCTTCAGTAATTATTTACAGTTGCCAAACTTGATTTAAGTACCTCTCCTATGAAACAAGTCCCAGATGTCTTATTTCATCCTCAAATTCTCCAGATTGCCTGAGAATTGTCTCAAAAAACCCACCATCATATTATTCACAGTGGTAATTTCTTAATGTTATTAATATCCAATTTAGATTTGCATTTCATAATTGTTTCAAAAATAGCCTTTTACAGTAAGTTTATTTGAATCAACATCTAAAGAAGAATTCAAACACTGTATTTGTACCTTGTGTCTTTTATTATTACTGCTTTTCTCTCTCTCGTCTTTCCCTTTCTCCCTCCCTCCCTCCCTCCCTCCCTCCCTCCCTCTTTCTTTCTTTCTTTCTTTCTTTCTTTCTTTCTTTCTTTCTTTCTTTCTTTCTTTCTTTCTTTCTTTTTCTTTCTTTCTTTCTTTTCTTTTCTTTCTTTTCTTTCTTTTCTTTCTTTCCTGTCATTTACCTTTTTTAGAAAGAGAAACTGGGTTATTTTTCCAGGAGAATATCTCACTTTCTGAATTTGGTTAGTTGCTTCATATTTAGTATTTGCTGAGAGTTAGAGCTAGAGATTTGGTTAAACTCAGGTTTCATTTCTTTAGGCAAGAATCTTCTTAAAGTGATGCTCCATCATTTCCATTTTATCTCATCTGTGAGCCATCATACCTGGTTGTTCTGCTTTTAATGATGCTGAGATTAATCACTATGTTCAGGTGTAGGTTTTTTGTTTGTTTGGTTTTCTTTCTGCTATTGTATATAGAACGTTTTCCTTACTGTTTTTCTAATATGTTATTGTTGGTATCTGAGAAGATTTTTAAAGCATATGTTTTAGTAACTGGACATCTGACCAAACTCTCCTTACTGTGTCAACTTAAAAATCATGAGATCTGTAAATCTGAAAAAGAGAACTTTATTTCTGAGAAGGGTTACAACCTGTAGGCTGGGAAGCGCAGCCTCTGGATTAGATCAAAAATAAGCATTTCATAGAGGATGGGTGAGAGAGGGGAATAGTATAAAACTAACTGGGTTAGCTGCATACATATTTAACAGGTTATAGGAGGAGCTATGAATATTCATGAAAGGGGTCACATGTATGCATGATGAGCAAACATAACATGTTACGTGTGTCCCATGTTCGCTTTGGAATGGAGACTTAACATTAAAAATGCGGTAAAATCAGACTCTATACATCAAAGGTGAGACTTAGGACTCAAAGGTGCTTGGTGCACATTCTTTGTAAACTGACCAGTCCTTGGTCAGTTGTCACTTATCAGGAAGGATTGCTTTGTAAGTTGGTCAGCAGTCATGTTGAAACCATGAAAAGGGAGGGAAATCTGGCCACAACATCAGGCAGTTGGTCAGTGGAAGAATTTTCCATTCTTTCTTTTCCAGGGCTGGTTTTTGTTTAACTCGTAGGAAAAAAAGGTCTAATGACAGGTAGTGAGGAAGAGGAAGACGTGACGAACCTCCTATCTCATCAAGGCCAGGAAACTTCATTTTTAAAGTTTTTCTGGGACCTCCTTAGCCCATAGACGTCTATTCAGTAGGTTGGGGCACTTAGGAGTTTACTTTATCTCACAACTGTTTCTAATAATTTTTTTATTGATCCTCTTCAGTGACTAGTATAGAATAGTCACACTTGAGCTTTGGGGTTGAAGTGTCTCAAATCAAACCCCAGGATGGTTATTTAGTCTTTCTGTGCCTCAGTTTTTGTTTTTGTTTTTTTTCAATCTATGAAATGGAGATCATGTATCTACCTCATAGGTTTATAATGAAGATTGAATCACTTCCCATAATAATCAGAAACTACATATTTGGGCTGGGAGCAGTGGCTCACACCTATAATCCCAGCACTATGAGAGACTGAGGTGGGATGATCCCTTGAGCCCAGGAGTTTGAGGTTATAGTGAGTTATGACCATGCCAATGCACTCGAGTGAGATTCTGCTTCAAAAAAAGAAAGCAGATGTTTATTTTTTAATTTTTCCATATCTTTTGCAGATTGTGATGTGCTTTACCTTTTTTCATATTTTAGGCCTTTATTTAATTTTAGGATGTAATTATATAGGCCATAACAGTTTAAAAATAGCATTGATAATATGCATCCTACAATAACACAAATAGCTAATATTTATTTTAGTATAATTTTCTTCTTATATAATTATGTTGTTTTAGTGGTATGTTTTGAATATCACCAGAATAAATTTTTGGTGTCTATTGAAATAATACTATAATTTCTTTCCATTGATCTTTTAAGATACAGTTTATCCAATACTTATGATGCCAGATTCCGGGATGCATTAGAAGAGTGTTTGTGACATAGGGAATGTTGGAACAGAAGGAACACTTTACAATGTTAAATAGTTTTATTGAGAAGGTGAGATTTGGGTAAAGACTTTCAAGATGAGTGAGGATCCATATGGCTTTCTGGGGGAAATCCAGTTCAGTAAAGGGGTTGACATTTGCTAAAGGAGAGCATGTTTGGTGTGTTTCAAAATCCAGTAGGGACCAGGTGCGGCGGTGTGCTTCTGTACTCCTAGCTGCTCAGGAGGCTAACATGGAAGGATTGCTTGAGCCCAGGAGTTCAAATGTAGCCTGGACAACATAGCAAGATCCCATCTCTAAAATAAAATAAAAATTTTAAAAATTGTTTAAAATCCTGTAGAGAGTTCACAGTGGTTGGAGCAGAGTAATGGAGAATAGTAGACAATGAAGTTAGGCAATAAAAGGTAAAGGGAAGTGGCTTGAACCTGTAGGGCCTCATAGACTATTGTAAAGATTTTTGCTTTTTAGTGAGTGCTGTTGGAAGCATTGTAGGGTTTTGAACAAAGGAATGACATACTCCGGCTTGCATTTAAAAAGGACAGCTCTATGTGCATGGAATCAAGGATGGAAGCAGAGAGGTTAGGAAATCATTGCAAAAGTCTAGGCTAGCAGTTATGGTAACTTGGATGGGTGGTAGCAGTGGAGTTAATGAAAAGTGGTTGAAATCTGGAAATAGTTTGAGGACAAGCTTTTCAAATGGTCTGGATGTGGTATGTGAATAACACTATTCTAACTGGTCTTGTTGCCTCTCCAATCCAGTTATACACAGTAGCAAAAGTGATCTTACTTTATGTTTGATAATTTCACCTTCTTGATTAAAATCCTTCAGTGGCATACTGAATAAAATTTATCCTTCTTGATATAACCAACAAGGCCCGCACAATCTAGAACCTGCATATTTTGCTAACGATTTTCATCTCCCTGAGCTCTAGCCATACTGGTGTTAAATTGTTTTAATATGCCAAAGTTTTTCCTGCCTCAGATGGTTTGCATTGCTCCTCCCTCTGGAAACTTCCTCTAACCCTAAGGTCACTCTTTACCCAGTCAGCTCGTTTGCATATTTCATGTCTCAGTTTAAATGTCCTTTTGTCTACTTAAAATAGATTTTAGCTGAGTGCCTTTAATCCCAGCTACTTGGGAGGCTGAGGCAGGAGGATCACTTGAGGCCAGGAGATAGAGACCAGCCTTGGCAACATAGCGAGACCTGATCTCTGAAAAATTGAAGAATTAGCTGAGTGTGATGGCTTGCACATGTAGTCCTAGCTACACAGGAGGCTGAGGCAGGGAGGATCACTTGAGCCCAGGAGTTCAAGGTTACAGTGAGCTATGATTGTACCACTGCACTCCAGTCTGAGTGGCAGAGTGAGATTCCATCTCTAAAAAAATAATTGGTTACTTCTTTGCCCCACTCCCACTCATTGTCTTTCTCAAACATTTTTTTCTTCATAGCATTTCTTACAATTATACATTTTATTTCTGTGTAATGTTTTTGTTTGCTTTGCTTTGCATTTTATTTTGTGTGGAATCTCCATGAAAATAAGGACCAGTCTGACTTGTTCAAGTTTGTGGTTAAGTAACAGGATGGTACCTGACCCTTAGAACTATCTTTATAAATATCATTAGATTGGATTGACTGACTCAATTAATGAACAAATGAACAAACAAAATATTTATATTATATGCTGAAGTAGCAGTCCTGGACATTGTACCTAATTTAGATTTTAATTTAACCTTGTTATTTTGATACTCGCTTTCCTTAATCAGTCATTGCATGTTCCTTATTGTAAGGTGGTTGTGTTTCTTTATCACAAAAAGAATAGTTCTTCTGCGGGAGCAGTGGCTCACACCTGTAACCCCAGCACTTAGGGAGGCTGAGACAGGTGGATCACAAGGTCAGGAGATTGAGACCATCCTGGTTAACATGGTGAAACCCTGTCTCTACTAAAAATGCAAAAAATCAGCTAGGCGTGGTGACACGTGCCTGTAGTCCCAGCTACTCGGGAGACTGAGGCAGGAGAATCGCTTGAACCCAGGAGGCAAAGGTTGCAGTGAGCCGAGATCGTGTGACCGCACTCTAGCCTAGGTGACAGAGTAAGACTCTGTCTCAAAAAAAAAAAAAAAAAAAAAAAGAGAATATTTCTTCGTTTAGCTATTAGCTTCTAGGCAAAATCTTAAATTTCAGAAAATAATTATACTCAGATAGTCATACTACCTGTCAGGGATACGTGTCAAAGGAAATATGAGAAGCAATAGCTTTAAAGTTGTCCCACACCCTCACCCTGTTTTTCTTTTGAAGGTATCATACTAAAGGAAGAAAGGGAAAAAGAGAAATCTATGGTGTGAGTTCAAGTTTACTACTGTAAGTGTTTAAGAAAGGGCTCTGTTACCATGACAACAAATGCATGAATTTCAAGTGGAAAATTTTCAGTGTATGGGACTGATAAAATTGTAACATTCTGATTTTCTCTGGTATAGAATCGTTCTTTGTCAAGTTAAAAAAAATCTGTTAATATATGTTAACATTAAATTTTTAAATGTTTTATGATATTGTTTTCAAATTGTTTATTATAACTTAAAATTATAGCCAAAAGAGTGTACTTTCATAGATCTGTCAAGCAGAAAGTTAAGTATTTGATTTGACATTAAAAATTACTTTTCTAATCTGTACTAGATTTTTGCTAAATGGTAAATAAAATGGTAAATAGTTTCATGTAGTGGGATTTCTTGACAATAGAAAATGACCTGCCGCTTTATAGATTCCTTTG